TATTATTAAATAAATAAATACATTTAATATAATTAATTTTACATAAATTAAAAAAATTAATTATTTTAGCAATATACCATAAAAAAACGTACAAAAAGCATTTCCCGAACAGAAAATACAACGAAGTACAAAAATGCGAACGGAAAGTCAAATACACGCGGGAAGCATTTCCCAGCTCCCACAATCACACATGTATACTCAGTAACAAGCATGAACTTCCGATTTTGATTTCGCGGGGGAGGGGGAAAGGGTTGGCCAATGCATAAGACGAAATTGCAAGAGATGTGCCACCGCCGGCGGTGGGCGCTACCGAAGTACACTTACATGAAAGACGGACCCGATCATAGCCCTAGCTTCAAGGCCTCCGTCTCTGTTAATGGCATGTCGTTTGATTCATCTCCTTCCTGTAAGTCCTCCAAAGAGGCCCTAAACGACGCTGCCAGGCTCGCTTTCCTCCACTTCGATTCTCCGATCGGTTGCACGGCAGAAGGTACAGTGACTAACTGACATGACTTCGATGTTATTCTCCTTTTTATGAAGTTTTCCTTCAATTGAAATGTTTGTATCTAATATTTTGGATTAAATTCGTTTGTTTCTTTATAATCTAGGACGGCCTACTAGTGAAATCTCTGCTGGAGAACAGGAAATCTATGAAATGCCTGAGGAAAATCTGGATGGAGGAAATGGTAAAGATTTATCTGAAGAACCTTTCATCTTTCTGTTGGTTAAAGATTAGGAAAGTTTGGTAATTTAGGTTGAATTCAATTGTGGAATTTTGGATTTCTCAAGAGATTGAATGTTGTTGTGTTTGATGTTTTTTGTGGTTTTGTGTACAGTTCTGATTGATTGAGAGTACAACGTTCTGCTCATTTCAATGCTCATTGTGTGTCAGTTTGATATTGCATTGCTTTGATTTCTGTTCTATATTAAACAGGTTCCTCAATTTCAAGTGTTGAGCTGAATGCTAGAGGAGTAGGATTAAAGAACGAACAATCATTGCAGAGAAATGACACTGTGTTGCAAACTGTCCAAGTCATCGACGGTAAGGGTTCTAACAGCTAGCAGCTTTCTTTAACCTGCAAGCCTGTCCCAAACATGATGAAGTGATGAAATTGTTGAGAACATAAACTATTTCATTCTTAATTGCATGCTTTCTTAGTTACTTCACAACTTAGCATGCCTTATTTTTGTAATTTGGTCTTTGTTTAGGATCCAATTAAGGTGCATATGTAGTATATGTCTTGCTCTTTACATTATCTAGATTCTTGATTCAACGCGTATAATATATGAAAACTGAACTATTGTGTTACATAACATTGCTTGCTAAGGTATTATTTCATTTATTTTTTGCTTCTACTTCTAGTTCAATGGTGCATGGAACAACAAAACCAGATGGCAAATATCAACAAATCAAACATCTACTTATTTTTGCTTGTTTTGCAATTACAAACCTTTTTACATCCTTGCATGAAAAATGTATCTCTAACATGTCCCAAAAATTGGCTTCAACTCCTAGATATCCACTGTCAATACAAGACAAGGCTGCAAAACTATGCTCGATTCAAAGATCTTGATGCACCATTATATTGCAGCGAAAGTGAGGGCCCTTCTCATAAACCTGCTTTCAAGGCTACAGTTACCGTAGGTGGGCATACCTTTGAAAGCCCTGCCTTCTTCAAAACTTTAAAAGAAGCAGAGCATGCTGCTGCTAAGACTGCCTTAATGTCCTTGTATTATGATGGCATTCATGAGGTACATTTCATCAAATGACTTTTGTTTTGTATTGCTCTCTCGTGATTTAAAGAGATTAAAGATAACCAGATCCATGTATTATGTGTAATTTATTCACTCTTGAGGATGCCAATGACCATTTTATTTAGCATGTGCATATCCCTTACCAGGTTGACTCTGGGTTTTATAAGAATCTCTTGCAAGAGTTAACCCAGAAAGAAAATTTGTCCATGCCAGCCTATAAGACAATAAAATCTGGCACACTTCAAATGCCAACATTTGTTTCGAGTGTGGAAGTGGAAGGAGAATTGTTTTATGGGAAAGCAGGGAAATCCAAGAAAGAGGCAGAGACAAAAGCTGCAGAAGCTGCTTGTACTATTCTGAAAGAGCGTAAGTCTGCTTCACACTTAGAGTGATAAAGATGGATTAGTAACAGTTATAGTTCTTTTCATTCCAAACTTCCTTAATATGTGAACTTTTTATATTCAGTTTTTATGTAATTATATACATTGCCCTCTATTATAGTGATGTTTCATTGTATGTGTAGCCTTTTGCAGTATAGATTCTTTACTGCATAAGAGCTAGTTGTTATTGTTAGGATCATAGAACACCTATCATTTTACTTTTGGTACTCTTCCAGATTATCATCCAAACTTGATTGACTACAGTCCTTTTTAATGCTTTAACATAGATATATATCATAGTGGTGCTTGAAATTGCTTTTTACTGTTTTTAGCTACGAACTTCTCCATGAAATTGTTATCTTCCATGTTTGGAAAGACTTTGAAAAGTTATTTTTTCACGTTCAGGTGGACTTGGTTTGCATTCTGGGCTCTGTTCATCAGATCTCAAGATCATTAAACCAATCAGCTCTACTCCTAGCTCAGACATTGTCGCTACTGTCCATTCTCAGCATAACCATACAGACAAGAGTCAAGTCATTTCATCACCTACCGTAAAAAATGAGGAACATGATGGACAATGTAAAGTTACATCATCCTACAGTTATTCACTTTTAATTATCATTTTGGATTGACCTATATAAACATTTTGGATATCATTTTTCTAAGAGCCTGCTTATTTAGATTTATGGCATTCTCTGTTCTAACAGATCAAGTGCAAGAAGTCATCCCAGGCAAATGGTGTAAGGATGAGATGGTCAGACCCAAAGACATACCTTCTTGTTCTAAATCCGCACCACAAGCATCCACAGGAGGCTTATTCTCTTCTGCAAAACGAACAAACCCAGATATATCTGCCCTCTCATTATCTGACTCCAATATAGGGAAGGCCACTGGGGTAAGAAGTTACTTACTGTGCAACAGGGTTAGGGTTTATACAAGCTTCCCACATTGCATTCCTGAGGGGATAACAGTGATGCCCATCGATGACAACAAATGGGTCCTGATGAGCTTGGAATTCCCAAATGAAGAATGCAATTAATTAAATTAGTTAGGGCTACTTGTTAATATTTCCAATTAACTAGAAACATATGCTTCTCAATTTTCATTTTCATGTTTCATCATGACATTTCAATGAACCCAAACATCTGACTCATGTGTGAAAAGCAACTTGAAAACTTGTCACACATGTTGGCCAAATAAAAAAAAAAAAAAAAAAAGACTTGTCATACAGATAAAATTGTAATGAACTAGGTCTTAAGGGTTTGCTGGTTGACTAAGTTGTCTGCAAAACTAATTGGTCTTTTACAATATCTGCCAGTTATTTATTCTGTGATTTTCTTTTCTTTTTCTTAATTGCTTTTATGGACTCTCCTGTATGTTTTTTGTTCTTTTATTTTTATAATAAAGGAATTCATAGCTGACAAAGATATTGACAGAATCAAAGAATTTTGGAGGTTTACATACATACATA